CTTGTTATCTCTGATTCTCCAGTATCGGCAGTTCCTACTATCTAATGTTTGCATGTGTTTGGTATGGTATGTCTTATGTCACCAGGTGCCAACTTTATGTCAGGTTCAATACATTGGTGAGAATACAGAAACTTCTGACATATCCTCACTTTCATGCATTATACTGGAAACTGTCAGAAGTATGCTGGCATGGCCTTGAATGTTACCCTTCCTTCATCTCTTTGCTTTTTTCCGTTATTTATTTTTCCTTCACTCACTCTTTCTGTTTACCTTTCATTCTCTCTCTGTCTCTCACTCTTTTGATATGACATTTTCTCATTGGTTTCTATTATTCTTTTAATTTTGAGGTGTTTTGGGAATCACATTGATTGTGTATTTTACCTTTTTTAAGATGCTAGTATTTTCCAGGTTTTTGAAGCAAATATTGCCAAATTGCGATGTGTGAGTTGGATTTTCCACAAGTGTAGCCTCACAAGGTTCAGACAATAACCATCTCCAACAAGTTAAATAAAATTATTTCCCCTTGATATTCAATAACATGACCATCACTACATCCATCACCACCAACATCCTAGAGATTATCATCGATCAAAAAAACACTTCACTGGGACAGTCATGTTAATACTGTGGCCACAGGGAAGCAGGTCAGAGGCTGGAAACTCTATAGTGAGTACCTCCTCACTCCCCAAGGTCTATCCACTGGTTATAAGGCAGGGGTCAAGAATGGAAAGGAATAAAATGCACTTACTTCGATGAGCAGCTCCAGAAGTTCCATGTTACCACCATGAGCATTCGTTCCCTCCACCACTAGTGCACAGTGGTAGCAGTATGTATCATGTACAAGGGGCACTGCAGCAAATTGCTAAGGTTCTTTCCATAGCACCTTCCAAACCTATGACTTCTGTCCCCTAGAAGGACAGGACTAGCAGCTGCATGAAAACACTGCCACCTCCAAGCCAGGCAACATTCTGATTTGGTACTGTATCACAGTTCATTCTCAGGGTCAAAATCCAGGAACTCACTTCCTGACAGCGTTGTGAATGTATCAATAACACAACCGGTCAAGAAGGTAACTCACCACCACCATCTTGAGGCAGTTTGAAATTGGCAACAAATCCAGGCCTTGGCAGAGATGCTTGTATTATGACCATGAATTTTCAAAAAAAGGTATTACTTTGCTTTCATGTGAAATTGCTAGAATTTTTTTTTGACTAATAATGAGGAATATAATTTGAAATTCTACTAATGCCACTTCAGTTTCTGTAATTGTGTTCGGCCAATCATAATTGCACATATTTAAGTGGCACATTTTACAACTAATGACAATTGGGAGAACTTTTAGCTCTGAGGTCTATCTGGCAATGTTCTTTAAACTGTTAAGCTAGCTTTCTGGAACTGGATGATTCTGAGACTGTATGCATCTGTAGCTACGTTTGATACAAGTCGTGTTGCTTTCCCCATCACAATGATGTGTAAAAACTTTTGAAGCAGTCACAACTGTCAAATATGTGGGAATGTTATGCTTGTTGGGATTCTGGAAGAAGTTAGAGCAATCTTAGGAATCTGAAGCAAATGGGGCTATCAACACTTTGGAGGAAAGGCACCAGGATGCTAGCTAATTCTTGGGATGTTGAATCCAGGGTTATGTGGGCCAGACCGAAGAAGAAGGTTGGTGGAAGTGATAGTTCAGAAGAGCATGATGTGATTATATTGCACACTGTTTGACTATTATTGACCAACAGTTAGGTATGTTGGTTAACTGTATATAAACATGATTCATGCTATAGGAATTCAAGGGTGAATTGAGATTTACGATTTTCTCTGGAAGGGAGGACGTATCACATTTATAGAGAAGTTTACAGTGAGTTTGGAATCTTTCTTTAACAGGTTATTGTCTTCTTTCACCCAATATTACTTTGATCTCTCCTCTTACATCGCACTCCTGTATATCATCTCCTGGAAAGGTTTCCATCCTTTAAACACCTTACTTTATTCCACTTTCTGTTTTAAATTCCCAATTTCTATCATTGTGGCAAGCCCATTCTGATCTGAAAGGTTGAAAGAACGAAATGACTAGACATTGGATGCTTTAAATGGAAAGGTCTTCAAAACCCTGGTAATCGCATGCTTCATTCTTAACAATAAAGTCTTAGTTGGAAAATTAAACATCTTGGTCCAAACATACTTTGAGGTTATGGTTTTTTATTATTAACAATTTATTTTTTAAACTTATTTTTGTTTTCTGTTTGTCCCTGCAAATTCCAAGTAATAAGATGCAGCATATTATGGAAGAAATATTAGTCACAGAGAGAGAGTATGTCCGCTCCCTTGGTTATATTGTTACCCACTACTTCCCTGAGATGGAGCGCATGGACCTTCCCCAGGATCTGCGGGGACAGCGAACAGCTATCTTTGGAAACCTGGAGAAACTGTACAATTTCCACTGCCATTACTTCCTGAAAGAGTTGGAGAACTGTGCAAAAGAGCCCAGTAGAGTAGGACGCTGCTTCCTCAGACATGTGAGTTGGTAACAAGATTTGCTTTATTTCTGTTTCTGTGCGTACAAAGTGACTTCCTACAGCATTGTTTATGTCAATAAATGTACATTTCCTATGTTGCCTTCTAATTTCTATCTCCCTTTTTACTCTTCTCCTGCATTTCTCTATTCCCTTTTCTCTATACATGCATCCAGCCGCCACTGGAAATGCGTTGCTGCTGTTGCTTCAAAAATGTAGATTTTCCCATCTCCTTTAGTATTTTAGTTTTATTTTGGATGATGTATGTCTCTGGCTTCTATTATGGCTGCAATGTCATGCCAGCCCAGTTTCCAGTCTCTTTTGACTGTACTAAATTAGAACAATGCTGACAACAGGAAAACATGGTCAATCTGTTGTAATATGATTGCTTAATTTACTTCCATGAAGTGAATCTTGAATTAAATCTCCAATCCTATCACATGTCCTGTAAAATAGAGATTAAAATAAATCTTAAAACAGAACTACTGAATGTATGATTATGAAATTGAAAATTTCCTGTTAAATAAAGTAAATGAATCAGAAGAGATTGTTTTATTCTTCAGTGTTTTCATCTTAGACTCTTTTATTCTAGGAGGAACTGTTCGGACTTTATGCATTGTACAGCAAGAACAAACCACGATCAGATTTCCTACTCAGTAGCCAGGGGAACAGCTTCTTCAGAGTATGTAGTTCAATTAGCTTTGGTGTATTGCAAACTCTAAATGCTTTAATTGAAGTTAAGTTTCTTGCTCCTTGTCACCTTCAAGTCATACTTCCCAAGAATTGTTTCAACCTCATATATCATACCAGCTGTATTGACTTCCTCTGTATAAGACCATAAGATTAGGAACATTTGGCCCTCACGCCTACTCCACCATTCATTACGGTCATTACTGATCCAATATTCCTCATATTCATAGTATCCATGTAACATGTAACGGGAACACCTCCTAGAGATTGCTTTCATATATTATGTAAATCATAACTGTTAGCTGTATGAAAGATTGATAATTTGACACTGAATTGAAGATGTGAGATGACTGACAAAAATCCCATCACACTTGGAACTTTTATGCGGCTTGGATATGAAAGGTGTCATTGCTGATTTTTCACATTCTTTAAGTTAATCTTCTCACCTTTTTTCTGAAGGTTTGCAGCACCCATATTAATCTTGTCCTTCTCTGGGCAGAAAGTCTACTCCCAGAATTTTGCTAATCCCATTGCTATATTGATAAGCAAAAAAGAGTGGCATCATAAAGCACTACAGCACATCTCCTGGAAATGCATTTTCCTTTCTTTGACTGATCCTTCCATTCTTTTTAATGAAAAGCAAGGCAGTAAGGCCAATAGTAATCTGGCAGTCATATTAAAGATATTTGACTTACAATATTCTATGCCTTAACCATGATGACAGCAGCAAAATTCTTTCTAAAGCACAAGGCATTTTTGTATGAGCATACAAAGTAGGAACAGAAGTAGGCCATTCAGCTCCTTGAACCTTCTCCACCATTCGATAAGATCATGGCTATTCTGGCGATGCCTCAACTCCACTTTCCTGCCACTCCAATACCCTTTGAGCACCTTGTTGTACAAGGAAGATGCTCATCATTGTTCATCAAAAGACAGCCGCAAATATCATTGTGGGAGGCTTAACTAAACTACAATGTCTAAATTATGGCTGTTCAAAATGTGGATATTTTTGAAAATGGAAGCAAGTTTTGCTCTCACTGTAAAGTTGTAGTATTATGTTCATTAATGATTTCCCGTAAAATGTGGTGAAAGATGACTGTGCTCAGATGCTACTTGCTCTGGTGCTGTGCAACTGATTCATGCCAGAAAGGGCTGATTTGAAAGGGGACAACTTCCTGAGCACAATACTGTGGCACCTATATTGAATGAACAGAGGAACTTTTCAGAACCCTGCACTGAAACCCTGGGCACTATTTGATCATCTAGCTGTAAGGATGAGACAGAAGATCGGATTGGTTTGTAATCCTGAGGGCAATGCAATAGTTCCTGATCAACTGAGCAGGACTTTGGGGAAGTATTTGGATGAACCCAGAATCTATTGGGTCAGATTTGTGAAGTCCATTGGAAATTAGACCCATTTTCCCAGTAAAAAATAGTGCCTTGCCTGCTGTTATTGGCTATCCAAAACCCAGGGAAATCTAAAGGTTGGCACCATCGACAATGGCGGGTATGGACATGTTTGTCATTACAGGGATACAATGTACAGATTTCCCTGGCAGGGATTGAGCATATCATGGTCAGTACCACTCCATTGCCTTCAAATTGAGGAACCTGAGAGATTATAATGAAATAAGTTTTCAATTACCTCATAGTTAAGCTTAAGAAAATTATAAGTATTGCAAAATTCACTGGATTGGTACTCATAGCATTGATAACGTCAGTCATGACAGAGTTCAGACATATTTCAAGATTCCTTTTGAAATGCTGCGCTGGCAAAGTCAGCAATGAAATGCATTAAACCCATCGCCTTTCTCTTGACACAGGCCAAACAGCTAGAACTGGGTGACAAGATGGACCTGGCATCCTACCTACTGAAACCTATTCAGAGAATCAGCAAATACAATTTACTCCTGAGGGATATGTTCAAAGAGTGCAGTGCAGCCCAGGAGAAAGAGTGCAAGGAGCTCAAGGAAGCCCACAAGGTTGTGTGCTTCCAGCTTCGCCATGGGAATGATTTACTTGCAATGGATGATATACAGGAGTGCGATGTAAGTTTAGCTTCATTTTAAAATAGTGAAGTTTTGTACTTTTTCTTTAGAAAAGTCTCTTAGAACCCCTGGCAGAGCGGAAGTGAGGCTAGTATTGGGTTCGGGGGCACAAACAATGGCTGGTCCAAACACTGGCAATGGTCAAGATGACCAATCAGACAAAACTCATTGCCATGTCTCGGGTGTATTGGTCTAAACTTACATTAGCACCAAATATCAGAGAGACAAGTGACTGTGGTACATTGTCATGGAGTCGTGTGCGCTGCTACAAGACTATTTGAGGCCCCAGAGAGTTGTACCCACCAATGCCTGTAGCTTTGAAAGTAACAGGAATATTAAGCTTCAATGCCAGCAGCTCCTTCCAAAGCTCCACTTGTTCAGTATTTCCCAGGCAACTGCTCAGTGCTGCATTAAAGAGGAAACAAATACTCTGTTTAAAATGGGTTGGAGAGATTGTGTGATACAGGGTCGACCCAAGGAGCCAGGACCATCACAGGTTTCCCACAGCTACAGGGGAGGGTTAGTAAGTATCTGCATGTGGTAAGTCAGGCTTCCTTGGGACGAGCCTACCTTGTGTATTAACAGTAAAGGCTTCAATTCCATTTATGTTCAATTGTAACCACAGAAGATATATCCCCCTGCTGTGTACTCAATTCCGGAGCAGTTGTTGAGATGTATATATTCCTCAACCGTGCCAGGTACTGTAACATCTTGGGGCCCTAGCATGCCTGTAGTGGTGGACCCTGGATGACAGGGATTATCCATTCAAAACCTGGTTGTTATCCCCAGTAAGGCAGCCCTCAAGGTTCACCTGAGAAGTGTGTGATGAATGCCCTGGATACACAGGAGCACACTGTCTGCTGCAGAAGAGCTCCACACTGTGTGCTGAGACGATCTTCTTCTGCTCAAAATTACTGAACCCTCACAGAAGAGAGAGACCTCACTGACTACTAACCCACACTCTGGGCTCCTCACTTGTATCTCTCTGCAGTCCAGCTTACCCGTCTGCGAGTGCTGGTCCTCTCCTTCCTTCTAGTTAGCTCCAATGTCCTCTGCAGCAAATAAAAACTTCCTAACGTCAGGTACTTCTCAACCGAACTTTGCTGTTGTGTGCCTTTTTTTTTCCCCTTAATGACATGCTAAACCCATCTGTCAGCATGCATTGCTTCAACAAGTAATAGGCCCACTGGGTCACTCATGCACATTCTCAACAGTTGTGCAAGAGCTTGCAATGTCTCTCCCACATGCACCCACATCTTGTGAGGCAATTGCCCACCTGTTTACTGTCTCTCCTCACAGAGACCATTGCATTTTGCCCTCATGAGTGGAACTGTCATATTTTAATGGCACTGTCATACCCTGGTCATTGACCCCCTTTCTGCACCTGGGTGAGCCCACGTCTGTAAGACTGCTGACCTTCATTGCACTCTCTTCAGTTCTACATTATCCTTACCTAGGTTTGCGCGTTATGAGCAACAATACAAGCATTGCCACATCAAGTGTAATACCCTGCTGGATACAAAAGCCACATTAAAGAAGATTAACTCTGGAGATTTGTCCAGGAGTTAGATTTCTCTCCATCTCTGCAACTGCTGCCTTGAAATCACTGCAGATTTGTCTAGATGCTAGTTAAACATGGCATTATGAAGTTACACCTGACCAGCTAGCGGCAGGATTGGAAACTTCCTTCTAGCCTCAGTGCATTAATGGCCAGGCCTCCACCACATTTGTTGGCTGTCTGCCAGCTAATTGTGGTTGTTCAGCCATTCTTACCACTAGAGGCACTGCCATTACTTCAGAGCCTGTTGTTGGGAGCCACACTGGGAGATCTCAATTGTGTCCAATGAGTAGTGATCAAAAGTGAAGATCCTAACCGATTATTCTTTTAGAGCATTTCCCAACTGACATAACTAATCTAGCACAAACCAGAGTGTACAGCTGGGACCTTTTGTGTTGTACATTTCACATAAGAGACTGTGCCTGATCATTGATCCATAGGAAACTCCAAAAGCTCCATTTCATTTATCATAATTAAGTTTCAATGTTGGGCTCATGACAACAGCTTTACACCACCAAGCACATCTTTATGTATTCTCCAACTTGCCAGAAGTCATTTTAAAATTATATCACCCTTGCCATTTTATCCAAATTTAAAAGGGTTGATTCAGTTTAAGCTCAAATTGAAAAAAAAAAGGAAGCATTTACAATGAAATGGCTTCAGTGTCACCTTAAGTAATCGATTCCTGCAACAAGGAACTGGGGAAATTGGAAGATTAATGACAATGATCTTGTTTCTAGGTGAACCTAAAGGAGCAGGGCCAGTTGTTACGTCAAGACGAATTTGTCGTGTGGTGTGGACGAAGAAAGTGGTACAGACACGTCTTCCTCTTTGAAGATCTCTTACTCTTCAGCAAGACCAGAAAGATAGAAGGAAGCAATGACATTTACATTTATAAACAGTCCTTTAAGGTACAAATGAGCATTTTCTAGTCTTTGAATTTTTTCCACTATTCTGTGTTATTGAAATGAAACAGGCTTGACAGAACCTATCAAGGGTCCAGCTTGGAAGATTTAGATGTGATAACCAGCTAAACATTTCATGTTCCCCTTCAAACAGTGAAAAGATATTATAGAGTAATCCTAACTAGAACATATACATAGCTTTCTTATTGCATTAGCATGAAATCCTGATTGAACAAGAAATGTTATGATTTCGCAATGATACCACTGATCTTATGCTTATATATTTCTATGCACAATTTAGACACCATTATTATATCAATGAGTTTGATGTGGGGACCAAATATAACATTTCCATGTTTGCAGATGACACGAAAGCGGGTGGGTATGTGAGTTGTGAGGGTGATGCAAAGAGACTGTAAGTGGATTAAGGCTGAATGAAAGGGTAAGAACATGGCAGATGCTATGTAACATGGATAAGTGTGAGGTCATCCACTTTGGTTGGAGAACCAGAGGAAAACAGTACTTCTTAAATGTTGAGCAATTGGTGTCCCAACAGGATCGAGGTGATTTTGTTTATGAAGCCACTGAAGCTAATTTCTAGGTGCAGCAGACATTAAGATGACAAGTGGCTTGTTGGCTTTTATTGCAAGAAAATTTGAGAACAGGCATAAAAATGTCTTAGTCCATTGTATAGAATTTTAGAGAGATGCTATCTGGAGTATGGTGTGCAGTTATGGTCCCCTTACCTAAGGAAGGATATACTTGACATAAGGGAGTACAGGAAAGCTTACTCAACTAACTCCTGGGGATGAGAGGACTGTCCTGTGAGCAGGGAAGGAGACCGTGCTGCAAAATGAATTAATTTAACTGTACACACTTTACAACAGGGGGTTTGATGAGATGGTTGGAGAAGGGTGGTTCCCCTGGCTGATGGGGTGGAGGTGTGGAAGTGGTCTTGAGCCAGGGGACATAGTCACAGAGCCCTGACGAAGGGTGTAAACCTGAAACGTCGACTTTACTGCTCCTCTGATGCTGTCTGACCTGCTGGGTTCTTCCCGCTTCACACTGTATTGCCTTTGACTCCAGCATCTGCAGTACTTGCTATCTCTGACACAGTCACAAAGTAAGGGCAAATCATTCTAGGACTGAGATGAGGAGGAATTTCTTCAATCAGGGAATAAGTGCATCTTTGAATGCTCTGCCTCAGAGGATTGTCGTAGCTCAGTCATTGAGCATATTCAGGATAGAGTTTGGTAGATTAACAGATGCTAATGACATAAAGGGGCTCTCAGGTTACTGCTGTCTTCCCATGCTGTTTAGTGCAGGCACAAAGCCAGGAAGCTTGTCATTGTTGTCAACAGCCCTAAGTCAAATAATTAGGGATTGCCATCACTTGGGGGATCCTGACACAATAAGTCAAGGGCAGCCTCCAATACCAGTCTAGGGGCTGCCCCGGACAGTCAGAATAAGTGTTCACTTTTCAAAACAGTGATAAGCAGAATGATATGTCATGACTCTATCTGCCCTACTGTGATCTGCTCTCCTCTTGGAAGGAGAGTGATGCAGGTTTTCAGAAGATGAATGTTGGTGGCATAGCCATTACAGTTGGTGCAGGTGAGGGGCAATGCCCTGAGTGAGTCAGTAGGCAGCAAAAGGGCTTGCAAGGTGAATTGGTGGTGTGGGTGAGGGCGAATGGGGAAGATGTATGAGCATGAGTGAGAGTGATGGGACCCAGGTAAAGGAGCAGAGAGAGAGGGAATGTCTGGGTAATGAAGAGAAGATGGTGGCACTTAATGCTGGTGGAGTGAAGAAGGTCATTGGCTTTCTTCCTACATAGCTAGGCCTTTCTCCAGATGGGTGAGACTTCTTTAATCCATGTGGCAACCTCAGACCAAACTGGCATGTCATTCTGTGCCCTGGGTGAGGAGGAAGTCCCACTTGTACACCACCTTGTCCTGCATGAGCTGAATACCTGTGCCATCAATGTAGGGCACAAATTTCCCCATACCTGCCTTTCTGAGGGCAAATGTCAGCAAACGCGCAGGGCATCTGTTAATGGACAGTGCAAGTCCAGGCAAAGATGGCTCCTGTGCCTGGGATGCCAGTCAATTCTAGGATACCAGTTAGTGGCGAGTTTTTGGCATGTGGTAAGATGGTGCAGATATTGGACCTGACACATGTAATAGGGGCATGAATGGAAATTACTGCAGTCGGTTTGCTAAGATTCGGCAAGAAAACTCACTTGGCCTTTGCAGCAGGATCCCCCCCCCCCCCCCCCCCCGACCCCGTCAACAAATTCGATGGGACTTGCACTTGGCCAAAAAACCGTAAGATTCAGCCCTCGGTTTCCGTTCAGTAAATATTAGGCTGCAGTCATTGTTTAAACACAGATCGGAAGATTAATTTCAGGCAGTTGATCAATCATTAGCTTTCTCAATTTTTGAAGCTTGTTTTACATCTGTTGCAAAATGATCTGTGACTACACAGGCTGAGGCACCCTGTGCTCTGCAAAGCAACGGATTTTTCATACACTTCTCATAATAACACCTTATGTCAGGTCATAACATGAAATGCGCACAGTGTTGATTTTTCTGAGCTGCAGTTGTCTCCTTTAACTGTCACAAATGTCTTTGTTCAACAAATATACCCAATCAGAGTTTAAATATTTTTGCTAATGGAATTTTTCTGATTTGTCAGTCTCAGTTTGCAGGTTGGAAGTGTTGGAGGAAAACATCCATCACTCTAAGGCTGATATCCGTGTGCAATAAAGCATGACATCTGAATTCTGTTTCACACTACATTGCCATCCATGTCTTTAACACACAACTTGTATCTATCTGTGCATTTCTTTCAACTTCTGCCACAATTTGGGACCAAATTAAATTCTGAAAAGTTGTTCCACTCCCTCTCTTTTCAGTGAAAACCAGGAATGGAATCTGCTGTCCCAGAGTTCATTGCTTAATATGTTTAAAAAAAAGTGTATGTTGGTACTGTACTGCGAACAGAACATTGCAACTTTGGCTTCATCTGTGGTGTATGGACATAGGGTCATTTACTATCCTCTCAGTAGCAGATGTGTACAGCTAGACAGAGAAGAACAAAACCATGCAAATATACCTTTCATTAGAAGTTAAAAGCTCTTAACAAGGTAAAGTAAACAATTATACAAAATGTTGTACAAACTGCTAGCCTATGAAGATGTAATGACTAATGAAAGAATACCCTTTGATCTGATACCACAGGATTTGGATGAATTGTTACAGTGAAGCTTAGACACAACTTGGATCAGACTGGATCACTGTTTGCTTTATGCCTAACAAAATGAAGTACTTATTAGCATTCTACTGTCCTGTATATTGATTAAATGCAGCTACGTATTGTCAAGAATATTTATTAATCAGTACGTGCACTGTACTGTTGCTCATTTAAAGCTTGGAATACAGTTCTGACATTTAGTTACTAAAAGAGAGCTTTGTCCAATCTGGTCTCTGCTCACACACTCTGGGCAATAGTCAATAATGGAGAAATCTAAGGGCAATTAGGGGACTACTACATGGGCTTCTAAAGGTCTGGCTCCTGATCCAAAGGACTAACGTGAAAAAAGTGCTGATAATTTGATAAACAGTTGTTTTGCAATTGTAAAAATAAATGACACATTGAAATGTGTTGCCTTGATCGTGATTTCTGGAGTGTTGTTGAAGTATGCTAGATGCATGATTTTTCTTCATTCTACCTGCCAGGAAAATGTAACATTGTGTGTTAGAACTTACAAAAAAAAACGTTGATTCTGTTTAGGAGATGGACGGGTATTGCATAAGCTTGCATGTGGTAAGGTGCAAAGCAAACTAAAATGCATCGCCCGAATTGACTGAATTAATATTGACCTATTGTATAATACGCCATGGTTTTCCATTTCAGACTTCTGAAATTGGAATGACACACAACTCGGGGGAAAGTGGGCTGTGTTTTGAAATCTGGTTCAGAAGACAGAAGCCCCGGGATACTTATATTTTTCATGCTCCGACTCCAGAGATAAAGCAAGCGTGGATAGATGACTTGGATAAGATATTGTGGAACCAAGCTGTGAGAAACAGGGGTCAGTAAATTAATAAGAATTAGTAGATAAGTAGAAGAATTCTGCAAGACCTTTAATAATTTTCTTTTTGTTTTTATGTATTGTTGTATGTTTTGTTTTTCTATAACACTGATTTCTTTGGTATTTTGGAGATTTCTTGAATGCATTTTGTGGTGATGTAATTGAGCACAAGTTGCATGCTCTTCTGGCTATTGTTGCTAAGGTATCAATAACCTGATTGGTAAAAGACAGCTTTTTTCTGGTGAATCGATAATGTAGTCCCTTGGATATTTATAACAGGATGAGCACAAGCATTATCAATATTCTTAACAGTTTACACTTCAAATTTTATGGCTAGTCAATATGTGGATCTGTGGTCCATCACATCATTTTATAACAAGTGTGACTACTGAACTTCAAACAGCTAAATTTGGTTTCATTGAAGATTTGGTGAGTCTTTTACGGCAACTGTCAAGAGGAAGAAACAGACAAGTAATGAAGGATCTTAGTTAATTGCATGAGGTTGCTTGCTGATAAGATAACATTGTCACTTAAAGTAGTTCTTATGGAAAGCATTGCATCTTGTGCTGTTTGTGGTGATGATATAATCTGAATATTCTCTAACAGTACTTTGAAACACTTTGAACCAGTTCAAAATATATTTAACCTTTTTCATCCTCAGCACAGAAATGGTGTAGCAACCCCCTTGACTTTGCAAAGTGGCCTCCAAAGCTTATTGAGTATGCAGTTTCATTTTTGAAATCCGGTTTAGACAGTTTATCTGCAATTCTGGCCACTTAACCCTCCCTAATTTTAATTAATCCATTGCTTTTGGTTGAACCTTCAGTTGCCCATATCCGAAGCTCTTTCCACTCTAATTCCCTGTGCCTCTCTCCCTCTGTCTCTTCACTCCATCTCTCTCCTCCTTTAGGTATACTTTCCAAAGCTATCTTCTCATCACCTGTCCCAATACCACTTTACATGGTTCTGTGCAAAATTTTGTCAGATAGTTTTGTTGATAAGAACTTGATGTTTTTTTTTGAAGGCACCAAAAAATGCATGTTGTTGGTACTATAGTGATTGCCTGTCCATTCCTTCAAGAGTCTCTGAATGCTCATTAAAATTTATTTACAACAGCTCACTTGGTGGTTCAGTTGGTCATGTTTGTGTTGCGATAACTGGCTTAACTGGAAAGTAGGTATTCAACCGTTAACCTCAGAGTCTCATGGATAGGTGGCAGTGGTATTGTGAACACAGAGGCTCAGGGGCAGCGGGAAAACAGCCAGACTGTCAGTTCTGCATGGAACCTTGTGAGCTCTACCAGAAATGCTGATGCGTGAATATTAGGGCAGTCACAGGATTGAACTTGGCTGTGACACTGCCATGATCAAATGATTTGTTGACACTGTCTGGGCAAATTCTGGGACGACCGCCAGTGACTGTATCTTTGGATGATTCACTGCTGCCACAGAGTACGAGGAAAGGAAGCAAAATGTCAGCTTTCCTTTTAGAAATAAAACTATGAACTTTAATTTTTCCAAAATTGTGCTTTTTTTAAGCAACTGTTGCAGCACAGGATTTGGTCAGTGCTTAAGTGATTTGAGTTTTGTAATATGCATCCTTGTCCTCATTCTGAATTGTCATTCAATTCTCATGGAATTCCAAAATCAATTGGTGAATTCTAGGATTTGGTCCGGTGTCACATTAAAAAAGTAGGAAAGGCCTACCAAAGTTTTGTGTTTGAATTAGTACCTTTATTGCAGCAGGGTAGCATTTAAATAATTGATTTATGATTTTCTTTCACTCATAACTTTGAGAGAATCAAAATTTCTAACTTTGGAAAAAGTGACATAAAGCTGCTATAAGATAACAAGGTGTGGAGCTGGATGAACACAGCAGGCCAGGCAACATCAGAGAAGCAGGAAAGCTGTCGTTTTGGGTCTGGACCCTTCTTCAGAAATGGGGGAGGGGAGGGGGGCTCTGAAATAAATAGAGAGAGGGAGAGGCGATGACAGCAGGTGGGGTAGAGGAGCAGATAGGTGGAGAGAAGATGGACAGGTCAAGGAGGCGGGGATGAAGCCAGTAAAGGTG